TCAGCAGCCCCCGCCTGGTCAGCCTAGAAGCTTTTCCCTCGGAATCTGTTTGGTTTTCAAACCGTACACGATGGGGTTCATCATGGGAGGAAAGAGGATGTAGAAATTGGCCAGCAGGATGTGTACGTGCGGTGCGACTCCCTGGCCAAACCTATAAATTGTTGAGGAGAGAACCCCTGGTGTGTAGACCACTAAGATGGCGCAAAGGTGGGCAACACAGGTGCCGAAAGCATTGAGCTGCTCTTCCTTGGATGCCAGGCTTAAAACAGCCCTCAGGATCTTGATATACGATAGGGAGATGAACATCAGATCCAGCCCCCCGATGAAGACAGTTAAGATGATCCCATAGACGTTATTGAATCTGGTGTCAGCACAGGCCAGCTTCACCATGGCCATGTGCTCACAGTAGCAATGGGAGATGACGTGGGACCGGCAGTAGGGCAGCCTCCTGAGGACGAAGGGCAGAGGGAGCACTAGGAGAACAGCCCGGGCCAAAGCCGCCAGCCCGATCTTTGCTATCACTGAATTGGTCAGGATGGTGGCGTACCACAGGGGGTTGCAGATGGCCACGTACCTGTCAAAGGCCATGGCCAGCAGCAGAGTAGACTCCAGAGTGGAGAATGAGTGAAGAAAAAACATCTGTACCAGGCAGCCGTTAAAGCTGATCTCCCTGGAATTAAACCAGAAGATGCTCAGTATTTTCGGCACGGTGGTGGTGGATAAAACCAGGTCGATGACGGCCAGCATGCCGAGGAAATAGAACATGGGCTTGTGCAGGGAGGGCTCTGTCTTGATAACATACAAGAGGGTGCAGTTTCCTAGAAGGGCCACGGTGAACATCGAGCAGAAGGGGATGGAGATCCAGGGGTGCAGAGCTTCCAGCCCTGGGATTCCCGTCAGGAAGAACACGGATGGATCAGAGCCTGTGCCATTGGGAGCTGACAGGTTGCCCTGCAGGAGCATCCTCTGAAAGTTTCCCAACAACGTTTGTCCTGTCAATAAAACATATGAGATGGTGAACAGACACGACACACGTGAGATGCGGCACTCCACTCTGGCTCACGGGGTGCAACTCCTTTGGGAATGGATGACAAGGTCTGGAGCTGATAGAAACATTGGTTGGGTGGTAAATATCGAGGAGCTCAAATTAAGGAAAGCCTGGATGCAGGGGTGTAAGTACAAAGTGATAAGATATCAGCTACCGGAGGGTTCTTTAATCTGGCAGGCAAAGGCAGAACAAGTTCTAGTGACTGGAAGTTGAAGCCTTCATAGTGCAAACTGTGAATAAGATGCAACCATGCAACTGGAACTAAGCTGGAATTAACCAGTTCAAGAGAACCATCAGTAGCTGTAGTAAGTTCTCCATGGCTTAGGGTCTTTCAGTAGAGATTGGATGTTCCCAGAGAGATGTTCTAGCTCAACCACAAGTTACTGGGCTGCATGCAGGAATCATCGGGTGGGTTCTTTGGCGTGTGATATGCAGGAGGTCAGGCTAGATGGCCATAATGGACCCTTCTTGCCTTTAAAATCTACCACTCTATTATTTCAACAGGCACTGTGTCCACTTCTGTCACTTCTGGAGTTGGCTCTACACATCAGATCTGTGACACCAACCCTTTCCAATTTTCCCTACATGTCTTTGCATTACCTTTTATGTTATCATGAGCGTTTCTTTCAGTGCTGTCACCATGGTACCTGAGTGCTTGGGGGAGACACGATGAACTTCATACTCCATTTTCATCTGCAGCTTTCAGATTTCAATTTATTTATTTTGCTATTTTGGAGCGTTAGGCACTTGTGCAAGATCAACCTGGATTGGCCCCAGCCCAAAAACATATCAAGCAAATCAGCCGAAACCAGATAGTCTAGAAATTAGCAAAGCCCTTCCCTCCCTCAGACAGCGACCACCCCATGACTCCTACACTTGGCCAGGTGAGAAGTTAGGACGGTAGATACGGGCTTTGCAGCATGGTTAGGGTATTTCTGAGCAAGGTTGAGTAGGGACTGAATTCCAAGGGAAGCCCCCTGACCCCAGCCTACCCTCTCTCACGCTGGGGAGTAGGGAGGGGAGGGGGGCAAACTCATTGACTTTGTTACCAAGCCCTCTCCTCTGCCCGATCTCTATCACTGCTGACAACACCTCCAGCCTCGCAGTCACTCAGGGCTACAACCTGGCAGACGTCTTTGACCCCTCCGACCTGCGTGTGCAGGGCTTGTCCAAGTCCTGTCACGTCACTCTCCATCATGTTCCTAAGATCCGACCTACTACCTACACTCTCCTGCATCTCCAGCCCCTCGTCATCTCCAGCCTTGGTTCCGGCAACCTCCTCCACTCTGATCCACATGCCCCTTCTCGCACACCCAAAGCATGAAATCCCTCCACAGGCTTCTTGTCCTCATCCTCAAGGCCCTTCACAGCTCTGTCTCCTTACTGATCCACTCAGTTCTCTTCTCGTGTTTTCCCCTCTCCCCTCCACTCTGCCAGGGATGGAGCACCCACCTGTCTGCATCTCCCGCACTGCCTCCAAAGTACAGAACAGCCCCCCTGAACCAGCCCGCTCCCCATTCCTGCGTCACACCCATCCTCAACACCCACTCGGCCAAGGAAGAATGGACCATTGGGTAGAGCTAATGTACATGTATTTAACATAACGGATGCATATAATGATAGGAAAAAATTGTGCATATTTTGGTTTGTATTCCTTTATCTCCCCTTCCGTATGTTACAGAGGGCTTATTGTTGATGAAGAAAAGTATCTGTGTGTGTGTGTGCATGTGTGCGTGTGTGTGAGAGAGAGTGTGTGTCTGTGTGGGTACAGTGCCTTGCACATTGTGAGTGCTATCTGAAGGTCAATAATTCTCAATATCTAGAGAATGTACAAAATCCCCCTATACTTCCCAATCATTTTGTGGAGGAATTTCAAGAAGTGGCTCCTGGCTCCATCCCATCATTAGCTTTTAGGGCTTTCCGCCTTTGTTTGCACCCACAAGGATCTGCCAACAGGAATGTGGGCACGGAGGCCGCTACACACCTGATTTGTGGGGGGAGCTATTTCCAGGTTCAAATTATGCCTTCAGAAAGGAAGGCCAGGATTTTTAAAAAAGCAAACCTCAAATGTAATCCGCATAGTCTCTTTCACATAAACTGCATTCCACAATCCCTTTCAGAATCCAGGCACCTTAACAGAAAGGAACTAAGACCAGCGTTGAAGTCAAGAGAGGTCATCTGCCTGTGAAACGTCTAAAGAGCCACTCAGCACCACATCCTCAGTCTTGGCTGTTGAAAGTATTTGCCTTCATCCACGCTTGGGCACAGAGCTTGATTTTTTGGAGGTGCTGAACACCCATCAGCTCCCATTGAAAACCAGATCACTCGTTTAGGTGAAAACCAGATCATTCATTCTAAATATAGACCATAGCTGCCCAGCGCTAGGCACCCAAGTGTGATCAGGTGGGGCACAATACGAATCCGCAGATGAAACAGGAAATTAAAATATACAGCAGCAGAATTTGGATCAGGTGTTGAACTTGCCCAGAATGTGGGTGTGTTTGGATCTGAGGTTCTGCTTCAGACCCGTCTCTGGCTACAGAACTGCACAATTCCTTTGCCCACACGAATCGGATTCTGTGGGCAAACTCACCAGAATCCTGCAGTGCTCCCTTCCTTTCCTCGGGCCTCGCTCTCCCACACGCTCACCCGCAGCTGCCTGCCCTTTGGTGGATTTATAGCCAGGGTTAGAGAACTTGTCTCCTCCCCTCAGGGGTGTCTCGCAGTTCAGCTGGGAATCTCTGTTTCCACTTTCTCCTCCCCACCCATTGCTGGCAGACAGAGTTAACTCTTTCTCTTCAGACTTGGGAGAAAAGAAACTGTTCCTGCATCATGGGAATGAAAGATAGAAAAGCCATTTTCGGTCCCTCCTAGACCATGATCCCTCAGCCACTGCAGAACTGATCACTACGGTACATTCCCCACTGCTTGGCCCAGCCTCGTTTTAAACAACCCAAGCAATGAACCCTCCACTACTTCCCCTAGGAGGCTGTATCCACCCCGGGGAGTCCATTAGTGCCCGGAGTACCTTCACCGGCTACGCAAGAGGGTCACCTTGGCCAGACAAGTCAACTTCACCTGCTTTCTGGCTGAATATTGAACAGTCCGCAGTCACTACGAATACCAGCTAGCTACTGAACGCCACTCACAGGGAGAGGCCTTAGGAGTGTGAAAAGGCAATACAGCCTCACAGATATTTACTTAACAGCCGGCCGCCTTATTTTTTTTTTTGTTATTATTTTTAGTTTGCATTGGGATAGTGCTGAGAGGCCTCAGCCTGGAACTGAGCCCCATTGTGCCAGGTGCTGTACACACGTGTAAGGAAAAGATGCCCTACAGAGCTTTACATCCGTGTCAGTGTTTCAGTTCCTGAGTGCAGTAAACTTCCCAAGGAGAAGAAATCTCACCTCATTTCAGCCCCACACTCCTCTGAGGCATTCAGTAACCCTGTGAACAACGCAGACCAATGGGGAGACATTTGATGTAATGAGTGGATCCTCTTAACTATAAATATGTCTACACTGAAAAAACCCCCCAAAACATGGCAGCATCTCAGAGCCCAGGTCAATTGACTCCGGCTCGCGGGGTTCAGGCTGTGGTGCTCAAAAGAGCAGTGAAGAATTTTCTAATCAGGGCGAAGTCCGGGCTCCGGGCC